ATTTGTTAACAGAATAGTGTTATCATTTTTGAACTAGGTAATGGTGCCACAGGAGTTTATTATCTCTACTTTTTTGTATGTGTTTGAAATTTTCCATAATAACGTTTGTTTTAAAAACATTTGGTGTGCATACATCTCCTACTAGGACAGTAGGTCTTTGGGGGTGATTATTTCATTGTGAAATATCCATATGCTTTATTTCAATTACTTAGTGATCAACCTCGTATTAGCAAAACACATTCTAACATATTTCTGAAGTTTTTGGGTGGTGATTATTTCTTTCTATATCTGAGAAAGTCTTTATTAATGAGAAAGTAGAGATAGAAATTTAAGATGAATTTGGACTAATGCAGCCATTTGAGAGCTGAACCAATCAGTTAACCTAATTGAGTTTCCCTCCCCTTGTCTTTGAAGTGGGAATTTCATTGGTGTCTGCCTTAAGTACTTCAGAGTGGAATGGAGAGATTTAAACAAAATGTTAGTGTCTTATAAAAGGGAGTATTCTACAAATGTTGCTATTGTCATTTTAAACAGATTCGAGGGTAATGCTAGGAGAGTGGCTTCAGAAGGTAGGACAACTTTTTATTTGATCTTGCAAAACAAATACTTGGAAATTAAAATTGGACACAAAGGTGGAATAAATGACGCCTGTCCCCATATTAAAATGCTGTCCAACAGGTTTGTACTCTGGACAAAAAATCAATTGTATCACATTGCTACAGGCTCAATACATTAATGGACATACTTCAGTATTGGAACTTTCTTCATCTAGAAGGTGCTACTGGTTCTTTCGTGAGTAGAAAATCAGAGCAGAACATGGGCTGTTTCTTTTTCTGGAAGGTGTAAGGGCACGAATGAATGACTCAGTCACTAATGAAAACTTCTTATTTGAATGTGTTTCTCATGCAACTAATGTTCAGCATTTAACTTGGTGCAAAATATGTCACAGTAATTTCTCTGCATGAGGTGACTTTGCAAGACAGCAAATATACCATGCTACTGCATTCCCCCATCAACCACCTCTTCAACCATCAACAGAGAGCAGAGCCCATGTCAAGTGCTTTTGATCACAGTAGGTGTATTAGCAGCTGAAAATCACTGGTGGAGAAAGATGACTTAGTTCAAGACGAGGAGCTGTAATTGATTTGGGTAGTGTTCTTTTGATAAAACTAAATTTGGAGATATATTCCACATAAATAGGGTAATGTAAGAAAGGCTTAAAAATATTGCTCATCTTTTAAACATTAATTCCAAACTATTTTTATTTAATTAATTTATTTAAATTTATTTATTTTTATTATTAAACAGATATCGTACTCTGGACATACACCTTCCACATTTCTTTAATAAGGGTACTTTATATTTTATCAAAAAATGTATATATTAATAGATTGTAGTCCAGCTTGTGTCCAAAGACATGCAAGTATTTAGTATGTACATGAAAAGGATTGCTTCAAAAGAAACATTGAATCTATACTATGCCCCCTTAAAGTTTCAAAAATATTTATTTGTAAGGTGGACTATAGGATCAATATTTTCAATGATTAATATTTTTGGATTTCTGTTGGTTTCCACACTAACATGCAAATTTCTGACTTGCTGTAACACAAAATTCCTATGTCTATCAGCTATATTATGGGGTATACACATTTTAATTGCTCTTTTTGAAAATATCACCAGGCAGTTCAGAATATCTCATTTATTGAAAATATCGTGACAATCAAGGACCTTAATATCAGCCAGACGTTAACAGTAGGGAATAGGGCAGAATTTAATAATGGAATGGATGGGATTCTCATTTTTACTCAATCTTGAACCATTTAAATGCTTCCTAATCAAGCTATGTATTTTAGATAAGCACAGTTAGATATTGATATCACTACGGGGGGTGAGGAAACTCTTAAGCTCAGAATTCCTTAGACTAAATGCTAATCAATACACATTTTATACATAACATGTACAGACTTTGTTACCAAGTGCCACACAACTAGGGCACACATATTAGTTACCTTGGTTTTCAAAGGTTATGTGTCAACTCTGCATATTGCGTGGCAAGAAGATACTATCAACATTATTTTTTGCATAATGTGCAAGTATTATATGGCCACAGAGTGTAATACAAATTAGTGGCAAAGTGCTGAGTGAAGGAATCCATGACAGATTCAGATGCACAAGGTTGAATATTACCCGTAAACTACCTGACTCGGCTAAGGTCTTAAGAACACAAAGCATTATGTCATGCCCAGCTTTTAAAAGTCTCTGAAATACTTGGACACAATGAAGCTTGTTAAAGGGACTTTACCATAGCCACAGGCATGAGGAGGAGGACTGGTGTGGGCAATAAATGACCTTGGGGGATATGGATGATCCACCTTGATGAATCTTTTCCAAAATGTGCCATCTTCCCTGAAAATGGTTTTGCTCACTCYATCATGGTCATCATTATTTATTAACATGTGCTTTATACTAAATTAGCAAAACTGTGCTGATCTTAAAAAGGGAAAAGATCTCAGTGAGAATTTTGTTAGCAAAATTATGCTGATTTCCAACACATATTCATCATTTCATTGAAAATATGATTTCAGAAGAATTTAGGTTATTAAGAATGGAAAAATCTTATTTGCAACCCAATTTCTCTCTCCAAAACAAWAACAACAAAAAATTACCAAATTTTGGATCTATTTGACACTTCAAGTGTTCCGCTGGTTAAAAAAAGTTATCACTTCTCTTCTATGCTGATCTAGATTTTTCTCAAAGTTGGGGAAAAGGAGGAAGATAATTTTTCTTTAATTGCATTAGGTTATATTTTATTTTCTATTTTTTAAGTACAGGAAATCTAGTTTCTATTTTAATTTGAATTCCTTTGGCTCAAATGATAACTTTTCTTAAACCTACTGAAGAAAATGGGTGTTTTCTCATTTAATAAAAAGAATTGGGAACTAGTTTGCAACAAATCAGCAGCCTTTAGGTTAGCTCAGCTATGCTTCAAAAGTAAACGGAACCTTAAAGCTTTACTGGGAATTTTGAATGATCCCATTTTAGTTTCTAAAGTAAAAGAGCAGCCCAGTTACCTACCAATGAGCTCACTGGGGCCTGAGGAAATGGTAGGCAAAAAGAGAAAGGGCAGTTGCACGACCACGTCTTCAAAAGCCCAGATAATCCTAACATCTAGGGAACTCTAAGAGGAGGAAGCAAAAGATAAATACAAAAATAGGCAAGGAAACTGAAAACACCCAGTACTGCAAGGCTAGCACTTGGAGGAAAGGAGGAAGATAATTTTAAAATCCTCCAATTGCCTTAATTCTTTCTGTGGCCATTAACACACCTTATTTTTATACCCTGGCTAAGTTTACTAAGGTTTTATGTTGTAGGGATTTTGCAGATTGTGTTTAACTTCCAGGTGTGTTATTCTTGTTTTCTTCACAAAGTTCTTAAAGACATATGCAGTCAAATGAGCTCAGAGTTACTTTCTCCACTTAGAACTTGTTAGAACAAAACAATGTTTAGTAAGGGTTTTTACACAGAAGGGTCCATTTTACCCCATACTTATTTTAGGTTATTATTAATGCCCATTAAAAATACACCGTAGCTTAAGGAAAAGAGTTGCCATAATCGAAGGATTGTGAAATAAAAGCAAATGAATCCATTTTAATCACATAACTGCTAGAGACTAGATTTATGTTTTTGTTGGAAAGTCTTCTGACTGTCCTCTCTCTATTTATTAAGCAAGAAGTTAACCAAAACAGGTTATCATCTTCATTGTGAAATTTCATGCTTATTTAAAAATGAGCATGTTGCTGGGCTTGGTGGCACACAGCTGTAATCCCAGAGTTACTCAGGAGACTGAGGCAGGAGGATCATAAGTTCAAGGCCAGCCTCAGAAACTAAACAGAAATGGTGTCTCAAAATTAAAAACAAAAATATATATATATAGTGCTGGGGATGTAACTCAGTGGTAAAACACTCCTGGGTTCAATCCCCTGTACCATTAAAAAAAAAAAAAAAGATACTTGGATATGATTTAAATTTACAGTGTTTCAAGCGACTCTTCAATTGTTCTTTTTAAACAGTAAAATATCAGCAGGAAAGTACTGACATGCACATATGCACATAAGGGTGAGGGTCATCTTTTGATTCTTCCTTAAAGTTACTTCACATAAGCAGACAAACCCTACCATGTCATACCATACAAACAATTTTAATTGTGTAGTTACAGTCAATAACCACTCCTAATCAGAACATTTCTGCATAAAGAAAACTGTGATACACTTATAAAAACAGCCAGCTGTAACAAAATAGCTGGTGTTTTCATAGCCATAAACTCATAAAAAAGAAATACACCTTTATACAGAAATTTTATACAGATGTAGCTTTAAAATTGATTGTAAACCAAAGGAAGACACATTGCAAACATCAATTATTTTCACATTAATTGCATAATTTTCTAAGGTGATCTATTAGTTTTATTTACCTAAGCTTATTTGCATGATAGTAAAAATTGCATACAACAATAAGAGTGAAGCTTATAGTATGAATTGCTTGGATAACATAGAGCACTTTTTATAGGCAACTGTGTAAAGCACATTTTCTCTATTTAAAACTTTAAGACACTTTGTTTTTACTGCCCATCAAAATACATTTATAAATAGAAAAGAATCAGTATGGTAACAAGAGAAGAAGCAATATTACATTTAACGGAAACTTCAAAAAAATTAATTACAACATGACGCTGCAGGATCTACAAATAAATAATGAGGACTAAATTGTGTTTCACATTTTCTTCTCCTTTTTTTTTTTTAAAAAAAAATCATGTAACAATGAGAATGAAAAAAAAATTACAGTGAACTTTTATTTCCAAAATAAAAACAAATTTGAATTACGGCAGTGCCATATAATACAAGGCATTTGTTGGCATATGTCATCTTTAAACTGCATTCCACAGTCTATAGTTCTTTTGTAACATACAATAGAGTAACAAACTCTTTTTTTTTTTTCCTTTAAAATAAGGGGCGAGTTTCCAAAGATCAGTGTGGAGTGTTACAGAAATAATTAAAGGAAAGGAAATCATAATCACAGAAGTTATAATGCTTGTTGGAGGCTCCAGAATAATAATTAAAAAAAAAAAATCTCTGGTATCATGCTTAGGGGGCACACACACACTGGTGCAGCCCTTGAACACAAATTCTAATACCAAACAATCCTCGATGCTTCACCTGGGCTGCCAAGCAGTTTGTAAGAACAGAGTAAAACGTTTAGTGCAGTCTGTACTATTCCTTTTCCAACTTTCCTGTTTGTGCAAGTTTCTGAAGATTCATTGGCCAAACCATGAACAACGAAGGTTTTTCTGAGCAAATACAAGGTGGACTTTTTTCATGTTGTTAGTAAATACCCAGTGGCACTCTGTTGAATGACAATACTACTTGGATCATCTCAGTCTTTCAAATCAGCATTAATGTCTGTGTTTCCTTCCACGGACAGCTCTTCTTCTAGTTTCACCGAGAAAAGGGTGTTGGCATTTTTGTCTTGGACACTCTCTTCTAAATCCTTGAGCAACTCCTCTTCTTTGTATTCGGCCACATCCACCTCTAAGCCGGAGTTGTCCTTCAGTTTGCCGTGGTGCTTGAGATAGTACCGCTGGTTCTGAAAGAACTTGATGATGGTGTACTTGGGAAGGTCAAGTTGGGCGGACAGAGTCTGGATGGCCTCTTCGTCCGGGTACAGGCCTACGTCTTGTATGAAACTCTGGAGGATTCCCAGGGCTTCCACTGAAATTTTGGTTCGTGGCCGGGTCTTCTGCCGGGTCTCCTCATCAGACTCTGCGGGCGAGGCCACGGTGGGCTGGCGCGGGGGAAGCCTGGGGCCCGCCTGCTGCTGCGGTTGTGGCTGAGGGGGTGGCGGTGCCTGTGGCTGCTGCTGCTGCTGCTGTTGCTGCTGCTGCTGCTGCTAAAAAGAAACAAGCGACAATCAGAGCTCTGCTTTCCCCACGTTCCGTGCACAAAGCTGTCTAGAATTAGAAAACACGTGCTTATGCATCCCGCATATAGCTTCTTTGATATGGGACAAAGATTCAGAGCAAAGAGGCAGACGAGCCAAATGGCCTACTGCATTTCGGAAAAAAAAAAAAAAAAAAAATCAGAACCATATCAACTGGGAAGGCAGGAATTCGTACAGCTTTCTCGGGGCTCCTGTGTTCCCTTATCAGATATCAGGGCAGGAGGAGAGAACTCAGCTGCTCTGAAAATGTTTGAGCCATAAACTTCACCAGAAGGACACGCATCAGAGGCACGAAGACAGCAAAGCAAATTATGATGTAAATAATTAACAAAGATTTAAAATGAAGATTGAGGAGCAAGGATTTCAAAAGACATTTAGAAAAGTGAGCTATAGAGGCATGGGGAAAGAAATTTGTGTTCTGCCCCCCCCCCCCTTCATCAGATGGCAGAGACAAGGAGCAAGAAAAGAAGGTAAGCGTCTGCTCTTATTCAGCATGCTCTCCTAGGAGTCCAGAGGATGTTCCAAGAGACTCAGGTTTGTCAATTTCCTCTCAGACAGCTCCGATTTAACATACACACAGTTTCTTACCAAATTGCACTAGGCACTAGTGCACAATTTTTTTCTGACCCCAAAATAAAGGTTCAATCCGCTGTATGACGGCTAGTGAATTGTTTTGTCTACAGTAAACTCAGATGTGATTAGGATTTAAATTTAGTGTATACAGACACTTTTTCATAATTAGTATCTGTATATGTGCTGTAATTTCCATACACAATTACACATAACAAATGTGTGACACAGGCAACTACTATATAGTGGAAATCCATAATTCTTATCAGCAGAGCAAATCAACCTGAGTAAGCTGCAAAATATTAGAACATTTGTACTGTGCCTAAGCATTTCCTTTCATCCCCCTAAGAAGCAATTTTATTAAAAACAATTTACATTTTCAAACAAGTACTATTTTTATTACTTAACATATATCTTTTTCTTTGTTTTTCCTAAAACAGTAAGTTTTTCATGCTTTCACAATTATTTTAGTGCTTGATATCCTAAGGGATTCTCCTTTTCAATTTGTTTTATCTTTAATACACACTCAAGGATTTTTTTTTTCCTGGTGGATGGATAACATTCTCTCTCTCTCTCTCTCTAAACACACACACACACACACACACACAATTTTCCCCCAGTAATACCAAGAAATGAGCAGGTGACTCAACAAAGAGAGTAGAATTTTAGGACTCTGGAAATCAATGGCATTTTTTCCTCAAAGGAGAAAACCAAAAAACATTCCTTAGATTTAACAGAAATCCGTCATACAGTTCAAGTTCAATTAGAATACACTTTCTGAGAGCCCCAGTGAACTACCTGATCCCAGAACATTTCCATCTAAATTCCCAGGGCTGTTCCCTCAGCAGATGAATGGAGACAAGTCCCAAGACATGAGTAGGTAGAGAAGGCTGAATGTGCTGCACAGTGGGCTCTGGCCACAGCCATGCTCAGTGCATCCTCTGCACGTCTGAAGATCCTGAGCAAGGGAGCAGGTCTCTGTGCCACCCCCTCTCTGTCTCCCTTCCTTGCTGGCATAGGTAACTTGTGCCCGCTCACCTGAGGAGCAGCACCGAGCCATGGTGCAGGGGTCGGCAGGCCTGGTAAGAAAACGCCTCTAGACTCTCCTTTCCCAAGGGTGGTGGGAGAGGGGCTCTAAAGGAAAGACAAACAGATATGACTCACCCCCAACCTGGACTCTGTGTGGGTGCGGGGAGACTGCTACAAGGTGAAGGAAGGGACACGGAGTGCAAAGCAAGATTCCAACTAGATTTCCCTCCCCTCCTTGATTTGGACAGAGTCCAACATATAAAACTGTGATTCTACAAACTTCCTCTACAGAATAAATGTAATTCCTTTCCTCAGGGGCGGTATGGCATTGATTAAGAAATAGGTGTATTTTTAAACGATTTTTAAAACAACATACAAAAATTTCGAAGTTCTCACACACAAAATCTAGAACTAACAACGATATATTTGCCAAACAAGAAGTACAAAAAGGGGGTTCCTGCCACTCTGGCAGTGGGGAAGTGAGGGGTAGGGAATATAACACACATGTTGGAAAAAGTATGTTAATTTTCCTTTTATCCCCCTGAGCAAGATGGCACTGTATTGTTATCTCTTGCTAAAAAGCCTGTGTTTAGATTGGCGGGAAGAAGAGAGATGCTAATTTCCCTGCTAAGTTTAAAGCTTTATTTACTTAGTGCTCTACTGAATTGGCCAAGGTAAACGGACCTGAATCTGTTCTGCTGGAACGTGGATAATGTGGGGCGGCCTGTCGCCATGGTGATGCACCGCATTGCTCTCCTGCTCGTAAATGGCATCACGCTCTGGCTGAGGAAGACTGAGGAACCTTCGGATCATGGACAAGTTCTCCCACAGAGTCCTGTTTTCTGGAGAAGGATCTTCTTTCCAGCGTAACAGCTCACACAACCATCCCTTGGAGACAAAGGAAATGAGAGGTCAGTTCATGTTTATGGGGAGGGGGCTGGCATTTTCCATAAGGAGCCAAAAAAGAAAAGACTCTGTATAGTAACTTTCTCATACGCTCTCAACACTCTAATCCACTTTAAAAATATTTTAACCTTTTCAGAGAGGATAGCTGCGGCTGTCAAGGAGGCAGGCTGTGTTTCTAATGAGTGTTCAGACTTGCATCTTAAAAGAGAGACATATTTTTCAGACTCCGAGGGCAAAAGAGCATTTATCACAGACTTTGCAATATGTGAAATAGGAGGAAAGCAAAAATAAGTGTTTCCACGCTTGCTTAATCTTCTTGTCTGATGGGGGCCATCTGAAGACGCTGAAGGTATTTAAAAAAGGGGTTGAACAGATCCTAGAAATAAAAGATTTCCTAAGCTTATAAAAAAAACTATGTATATTTGTGTATATGCATGTATGAGAGAGGAGAGACATATACAACTAGTTGTGAGACCAAGAATACTGTCCAGTTTCCGCATAATGATTAGAATGGGCACTCAAGGACTTCTCCAAGAAAAGAACTTTCCAAAAAGAGACCTCAGAGTCCTGTTTTCTGCCTGTGGCAGTGTTAGCACATGATCTGCTCAGGCAAGAATTTTAATAGGCTTCCTGAATTAAACGAGAAAGAAATGTCCAATGAATACCAAAATCTGAACCTCTCCGATATATCCTGAGGTCCCAGTTTTGACTTTAGGCTTATCTGTGAGGAATGCAATGGTCCAAGACCGTCACCACCTCAAACTTTCATCCTAACCAGGATGAACTCTAACCACTGGGGTAAGGAGCAATGGGATTCCCCAGCCAAGGCAGCCACACCTCAGCAGCTGAGTTCTCTGCTAAGAGCTCTCCACTGTACTCTTCTCTGGAGAAATGTCCTGAAGCCATCTCATCGGACGATGCTTGGAACACTGCTCCCCCTCCTCACGGACCTTCTCACTCAGGAGTGGCCAGCGATTTACTGATCCAGAAGTACAAAGTCTCAATCCTTATTTCAAGCTGACAACTCGCTCTATGCGTCAACTCTCTCTCTGGAGACAGTCATCCTCCTTCTTTTACTCCATCCCCTATCAATCGAGGGCTAGACTTTATCTGGGGCCACAATTTTTTTTTTTTTTTTTTGGTGCTGGGGATGGAATCCAGGGCTTAAGCTAAGCAAGATTGAGGTACATCCTCAGCCCCGGGGCCACGTTCTTACTCCACCTCTTCCTCTGCCCTATTTTCCCTCATTCCTCAGGTCCTCCTCAAACCACCAGCATCTGATTCCCATCTTAGACTCTGCTTTAAGGGAACCTGACTTAGGACAAGAGTTTCTTGGAAATCTCAAGAAATTTAATTGGATGGGAATTCTTCTTCTGATTGTAACATACGGTGAAAAGAAGCCAGGCCTGTCCTCCCCAGAATGGCCTACTTGAGAGAATTTAAAAGAAAAGATGGTGACAGATACATTGGCTTCTCAAGGCTTACTTACAGATCAGCCAAGAAGGACTGCCACAAACTCTCATGAGATATACTACATTTTCTGAGAGTTTAGATTCTCTACTCAACAGATCTTTTAATTGAACAAATATATACGTGGGGATGGCCATGCAATTGTGCACTTATTCAGTGCACTGGATGCATAATTCAAGGTGAGGAGAGGAAGCAGCAAACTGCAAATTCACCTCAAGGAATGTCAACTAAATTTAAAAAATCCCTGTGACAACAGGATTGCTGAGCATATTTCCCTTCTAACTACAGCAACTCCATGGCTATTCCCAGCATACTGTAAGATATTTCAGCGCAGACAGACATCATTACCCTTTGTACATGTATGTTTGCACTAATGGCGCGACTCTGCATCGTGTACAGTCAGAGAAATGAAAAGTTGTGTTCCATTTGTGTACAATGAGTTGAAATGTATTCTGCTGTCATGTATAACTAATTAAAACAACAAAAAAATTTAAAAAGATACTTCAGCTCTATCTGTGTGAATATAATATTGACTACAAAACTGTGTTTGAGTATTTGAAGTATTTGAAACCCACCTGCATATGGTGCAGTGCAGATGTTTATTTAGTTCTTATAGGCAAATATTTGCTACCTGGATTAAGATATGAAAATATCATATATTTTCCTACATCTAAGCTGTTTTGTTGCATTATACTTCTAAATCTTGTGGTTGTGTAGGTTTAGATACATATCTTCCTGTGGGCCTGAATATTAACTATGGTTAAGATGACTTCCCTCTTCCCCTTTCTGTATCCTTCAGCTATCACCACTGACAGGTCAAGCTCTATGCCTGAACACAAAATTATTTGATTTTATTTACCTTTCAATGAAGAGAAGTTAGAAGGTTCCTCAAGAACAGAGCAGAAAAATCTTTTTTTTTTAACTTAGCTAGTATCCCGCTACTGCAATAAATGTTAAACATTGAGCTTCTACAATTTTTTTTTAATAAATGCTTGTAACTAAAAATTGCTAAAAGTTAAATTAAGAACGATTCATGTAGGAAAAGCTTCTTGGAGAGAGCTGCAAAACTCCAATGATTTTTCACATCCTTTAGAAACTTTTTAAAGTAATGCAGAGATCAGTTAGCACTTGGATATATGTGAAAAAACATGTGGATCACAGATGTTCTTTGGAAAAGAAAATCATTAGTTCTTTTAAAATGGCTAATAATGATAGCTAATTCCTAAACAATCACACTCATGCTGGTTTAACAAATATTTCAGAAAAAGAGCCCTGACTCATTCAACAAATATTTTGCTTATATTGTCACTTTTGTGTCTCTACACTTACGAGACAGATCCTTATTTTTATTAATTGCCCATGACTAACATAACATTTCCAGTAGTTTGCTATTAACCTCTGCCCTTAAATAATACTTCTAATTCCTTATCTAAAAATAATTTGATGAATTATAAGCTGAAGCATGTCTCCGCTAGCCTTTCAAGAGACACGATGATTTTAAGAGACTGAAATCAGATGCTTCTTAGAAAAATATTTAACAGTGCAGCTGGGAACTGTTAGTTCTACAAGGGTATTCCAAAAAACAAAAGGGGAGGGGGGATTGGCTTTTCTCAATGTGTGTATCTCTTAAGAAATAATGGAAAACAGACATTTTGACACATTAGTTCTTTGTTAGTATAGAAAGAAACTGATTTGTTCCCATATTACAGGCAAAAATAAGGTTAATTTATTCTAATATATTTTTTTAACAAAAATACCTTGAAATAGTTTTAACTACCTTAAATCCTATTGATTGCTATGCCATTAGTGACAACAGAAATTTGATCCATGTTTTTTTCAGAAAATGACTGGAAAAGCCAAATGCTTTTTAATTCTCCAATACCTTTTTCCTAGGTCAAAACATTTGCAATATTTGATAAAATAATTCCACAAAGTACGATGCTGGTCTTTAAGTGAGAACTCTACAGATTTACTTGGGAGAAGAGAGATGACAAATGCAATGTGGTGCTTTGTTGCAAGATGTGAATATAATCCCATTTTTAAGATTGTTCCCCAGGACTTGATGTCCTCTAAGACCACAGGCAGGGAACTACTCTCAAAATTAAATTAGACCACAACTGTTTTGAACAGTAGAAAAAGACTGGGGCCTCACAGCCTTAAAATAATGAGACCAATGAATCCATTCTAAGAAAACTAAAATGGTACAAGGAACAACCTAAACTTTAAACGTAGTAAATTTGCCAAGCAACATTACACTGCATATAAAGAGGGCAAAATATAAACAGTGGCCACATGTAAATAAATTAGTAAAACTTTCAGGATGTTACTACTTTTCAAACTGACAAAGTTTAATTTGACACCTTCTGTTCTAAACCCTTTGTTTCTATTCAAAATCACGCCTTGAGCTGTTGCTATCAATCACAGCGCTCCCCCTATTACTTAAAAAAAAAAACTGGCAGGACCCTGAATAAGCTGAAAATGCCATGCAGATGAATTCTGAGATAATATGTTCAAACCTGTTATATACAACACAAATCCTGTAAAGTTATGTATTGTAAACCTACATTTATTGAGAACTAAAAGTCTTAAATCCATCTGCCACAAAGGAAATACTGTTATGTACTTTATGGTAACCAAGAACCATCTGCAAATGTCTTGCTACCATAAGCAAGAAAACGGTGCAAAAGATGCTAAACCTAAGACTGAAATAAATAACATTTTTTTTTTTTTGACCGGTTTTGGTTAGGGATCTATTAAAGAAATCTAAGACTGAGAAGGGGGAAAAAAAAAAAAAAAAAAAAAAAAACAAGGAAAAGAAAAAATGCAGAATGACTGCCAAACCAGCACTGCAAAAAAGCAAAACAAACTCAATGACAACACAATGGCAATTTATTATGGTCCATGAAACACATGACTGTATGCTCATTTTAAAGGAAAAATTAGCAGTTCTAAACTCAATATTCTAATGATGTGCTTTACTGACAGAATCTTGTTGTACCACATTTAAATAAAAATCCTGGCACCTTCATCTCTCAGCTGCTAATTTCCAACCAAGCTCAATCTCTGATTTCCACCCCACTCTTTTTAGAACCGTTAATTCAAGTCAATTCGCTGCTAACATTTTAGTGGGTAAGGGGTACACGATGATTTTAATTGAGCCAGGAAAGCAACATCCTTTCATGAATGAAATTTATTGTACCTATAAAGCCTCTCGCACAGCGAGAACCCTTACAGGGCCTGGTCTGTGATAAACCTGGGAGTTCATAACACAACTAGTTTTCCAGGGGAAAACAGACTTTGGTATTCTCTGAGAAAAAAAAAAAAAGTCATTTAATGCAATATACATATATGTGTATATTATCATCATATACACATGCATTCTAAAACCAAGAGCTATAAAAAGAGAGAGAAAATGACAATTTTTGCTGCCACTAAGAAGGAAAAATACATTTAAAAAAAAAAGAACGGTAATTTGAGCTCTAAAAAGCAAAACATTTTATCGTCTGTATTTA